TTGTCTGCCTTGGTAGCCAAGTGCCCACCCTTCTCTAAAACGCCTTTTTCTTTGACCTCTACTGTTCCAACTGACTTGTCACCACAAGACTCCACAAGCCTTTACCCCAGACAGTGCCTCATGTAGCCCATGTTAGCTACGAACTCACAATACAGACTGAAGAAACCCTTGAGCTGATCCCTCAGCATCTGCTTCCTGGGGACTGGAATTACAGACATGTTCCAAAACGTTTCAGCTACAGACTTTAAAGTGGGGCAAGGAGGAGTACTATTCATGAATTAAGGTAGAAGAAAGGTGAGGAATTCCAGGAATGGACTGGATTTTTCCAGAATGGGGTTAACTCCACTTTTCTGTCCTTATATGGCATTTTCCCCTCTGGATGTGGCATGATACCCTGATGCATGATGGGAAGGGGCACTTTTGCAAGGCTGAGGGTATGGAGCTGTCGTTAGAATGAAGTCAAAGGTAGTTACTGGTCATCTGGTAAGAAAAAAAACAATGTTAGCTGGACATGGTAGCTAGCACATGCCTTTAAGCCCAGCACTCAGGAAGCAGGGGCAGGGGGGTGGATCTCATGAGCTCAAGGCCAGCCTGGTCTACAAAGCAAGTTCCAGAACAGGCAGAGCTGCTACACAGAGAAACCCTGTCTGGAAAAACAAAAAGAAAAGAAAAATGGGGGGGGGGGGAGGAAGGAAGGAAGGAAGGAAGGAAGGAAGGAAGGAAGACAAAGCAATGTTTTCCAGTCAAAGGCAGCTAGTCCGCCAAGATCAATATTCCAGAAACCTCCCCACCTTGTAAAACTTGGGTTTACTTAAAGGCCCTGATGCATGTCTAGAACTTGACACAGAGCAATGTACTCCTTCCCCCTTTCCTTCATGTCCGTTATACGCCTTTCTAAATTCATCAATTAGGAGTAGACTATGAGGTTGAACTTCAACCAGCCGGCCCCTGCATTAGAAACAAAGGACAGAGCCCGTATGGGCCTGTATACAGAGACAGTATGAGTGCTGCTTGCTTGCTGGGTTTATGTCACAGTACATCCTTTTTCAAAAGGAAATTGTCTTGCCAGGTGACTTTCACTTTGCTCATGTATTTTTTTTAGTGACACTAAGAGTATTCTTTTCCAACATCTCTTCAGCCATGTTGGCCTCAACCTGGTTTGAGTGGACTGCTTTTGCTACTGGAGCAGTCCCGTGGTGTCTTGCTTAATTCACCTCTGTGGCTACATCATCCCGAAGCCCTTATGTAGCTTGCCCCCTTCCCTGTGTCCTCATAGGACAATACAGAGGAAGGCTGAAGCCAGCAGGTTAAATCCTAAAAACTACGCTAGAAAGGTGGTATGGTAGGATACACCAATAATGCCAGAACTTAGAAGACCGACCAACCTGGGCTACAGAGTGAAACTGTCTAAACCTCTCGTCACCCCCAAACATACAGAGGGCGCTTAGTTGGTAGAGGCTTGCCTATCATGCATGAAGTCCTAGGCTCCATCCCTAGTATCATACAAGCTGAGCATGATGTTACATGCCTCTTAACCCAGGACTTGGGAGGCAGGGGGTCCAGAGTTCAAAGTCATCTTTAGCTAGACAGTGTGTTCAAGGCCATTCTGGATATATTAGACCCTGTCTCAAGAAAAGAAAAAGAAAAAAGACAAGAGAAGGGGGTGGTAGTGAGATGGTTCAGTGAGCAAAAGGACTTGCAGCCGAGCCTGACGGCCTGAATCACACTGGTCTAAGCTAGTCTTTATTGAAAGCTACTATGACAAAGACGCTTTGGAAAGAGATACTTCAACTACCGTTTTCTTTGTCTTCATAGCAACCTTGCAGTAAGATGGTATTGGCTCCCTTTTACAGATAAGGAAACTGAGGCAGAGAGATACTTGGTATTTATGGATGGTACTCAGCAAAGCTGTGTTTCAAACTCAGGTTTAAGTCCTCCTGCTGGACGTGGTCAGGAGGAAGGGAGTGGGCAGGGGATATAGCTCAGTGAGCACTGACCGGCCTATCAGTATGATTCCCTGGGATTTGATCCCCAGCACTGGGGGGAAGGAGGAATTAGGAAGGGAATATGAAGGACGTGGGACTTCATACCTGAGAGAATTCACTCACAAACTCGCCCATCCATTCCTTCAGCATTTTACTTATGTCACACAGGAAACCAGTCAAACAGGGCATTTCTGAGAGGGGACTTGCTGGACGCCAGGAACCTGTGGAAAGCTCTGCCTCTTGTTTTTTAGTTATCTCCTGAAAAAGCACCCCTGCCTCCAGGCTGTAGGAGAATAAATGACTGACACTGACCCCGGGCCTCTCTTGGCTGGACCAACTGGACTGACCAGCCCATCCCCCTCCCTGAGCTTCAGTCTGGTTTCTGCCATAAGTCCTTTGAAAGGCTTCTGGAATGGTAGCTCAGAGCTACCCTGGGGACAACCCCCACACCCTGCCATCATGCAGGATCTCTGCTCTCTTCCTTTCCTAGCCCCCACCTGTAATGCACTTAATACATTTCTCAAACTCATTCTTTGTGGTTTATGAATTTCATTCTTCCAAGTCTTTTTTTTTTTTTTTTTTTTAGTTTTTCGAGACAGGGTTTCTCTGTATTGTTTTGGAGCCTGTCCTGGAACTCACTCGGTAGACCAGGCTGGTCTCAAACTCACAGTGATCCGCCTGTCTCTGCCTCCCAAGTGCTGGGATTAAAGGCGTGCACCACTAACGCCCGGCCATTCTTCCAAGTCTTAATACAAGAACTGCCAATCCACTGTCTCAGGGCACTTTGGTGGCTTTGTAAATTTCAGGAACCGCTCTAGCCTTCTCCCTGCCCCTCCCCCCAAAGCCTAACTCATCAAAAGAAGGGCTCCCCACTGTCTCAAAGGCACTCCAGCATTTCCATTTCAGTACTAAGGGTTTAAGTCCTTCAGCAGCTCAAAATTTGGCATGCAAATCTCTAAGTGCTAGCCTGGAACTCTATGTAGACCAGGCTGATCTGAAACCACAGAGATCCCTTGTCTCTGTCTTGCCTGGCATTAAAGGTATGGGCCACCACACCCAGCAGTGAGTACTTGCTGCTCTTGCAGAGAAGCCAGTTCCCATTTCCAGCGCCCACAAGGTGACTCACAACCATCTGTGACTCCAGTTCCAGGGGGATCTGACATCCTCTTCTGACTTCCAAGGACACCAGGCATGCACATGGGGCACATATATACATGCAAGCAAAACTCTCATACTCATAAAACTGTGGTTTGTACCCACTTCTTCCTTTTAGGTATGCAGACAGCACTCTCTGGGTCTTTGGAGAGGTATTGTCAGTGATACAGGAGGGTCAATTGTGAAACTATTGAAACTCTTGTATGGAGGAATATTTGTTTAGACTGTGTGAAGATGTGTCACTGTGATTGGTTTAATAAAGAGTTGAAGCTGGGCGTTGGTGGCGCATGCCTTTAATCCCAGCACTCGGGAGGCAGAGGCCGGCCAGTCTCTGTGGGTTCAAGGCCAGCCTGGTCTACAAAGTGAGTTCCAGGACATCCAGGACTGCCACACACACACACACACAAAACCCTATGTCAAAAAAAACAAAATAAATAACTGAATAGCCAATGGCTAGGCAGGAGAGAGTAGGCAGGATTTCCAGGGAGAGAGAGAACTCTGGGAAAAAGAAAGGCAGGGTTATGAGGAAGACACCAAAAAGGTCAGACATAAGGTAACAGAATAGAGGTAACCAAGCCATATGGCAGACCGTAAATTAATAAAACCAGGCTACTGGGACAAGGTTAAACTAATGGCCAAGCTTTCATAATTAATAATAAATCTCCATGTTGTTATTTGTGAGCTGGCGGTCCCACGCAAAAGCTCACTACACTCTAGCTTCAGGGTTCTTTACTTCCCAAAACAGCATTTCCATCTTGTTGCAGAGGTCCTCCATCTATTTTCCTTTTTGTTTTTCTCTCAGGATCTCTGTCTTTCCTTGCCCTGCATAAGACACCTTCTGATTCGTTTAATAAAGAGCTGAATGGTCAATATCTAGTCAGGAGAGCACAGGCAGGACTTCCAGGAAAAGAGATAGGAACTCAGGGAAAGAATCTGAGAGGCAGGGGATTCGTCAGCCAGACAAGGAGAAAGTTGGACATATGGTACTGAGGAGAGCTAACGAGCCATGTAACAGAACATAGATTAATATAAATGGGTTAATTTAAGTTTTAAGAGCTAGTTTGGAACAAGCCTAAGCTAACGTCAAGCTTTCCTAATTAATAAAAAGTCTCTATGTCATTATTCAGGAGTTTGGCAGCCCCCCAAAAAAGTCTGACTATAGATTAGTTGATCACCTGGGGAATACCTGTTTCTCCTAAAACGAGCCTGCATTCTTTTGGATGGGTTGTCTCTGAATCAATATCATGATCAATGGTTTCAGTTCATCTTATCCTTAGACTGTATGGTGCTATCAGGTGCTGCCATGCAGCCACACATGGACCTGGTAGAGTTCGCCCACCACATTTATTGCTTCCTTCTGGAGCCCTTTTCCACTGACTCAGCTTCTTCATGACTTGTGGCTACCACACTTGGAATAGACGACTACTGCAGTAAAAGGCCTAGTTCATCAGTTTGCCCTAAGCTTGAAAGTCCCCCTGCCTCAGCTTTCCTAGTAGCTGGAAGCACACAGGTGCATGCTACTGTCCAGTTGGCTGGTCCAGCTGTTTTGTGTGACCTCTCTCATTTGTTTGTTGATTTGGTTTGAGACAGAGTTCCATGTATCAAAGACTTGCTTCAAACTCATTGTGTAGTTAAGGCTAGCCTTCAAACCTTGATCCTCTTGCCTCTGTTACAATAACCTATATCAGTACTCTGTTGAACTCCACAAGGGAAAGGAAGGTATTTCTTCCTGGTCAAAATAATAAAGATCTATTTCTGGCCTGGGGAGAAGTTACACAAAATGGAAGAGTTAGTCTAGTTGAGGGTGTTTGTTTTCTGACACAGTCACTGCAAAGGTCATTAGAGAAGAGGGAATCTCACCTGAGAAAATGCCTCCATCAGATGGCTTGTAGGCAAATCTGCAAAGTATTTTCTTGTTTGATGAACAATATAGGAGATTCTAGCCAACAAGGGGTGGTGTCACTCCTGGGTAGGTGGTCCTGAGTTGTCTGAAAGAGCAGGTTGAGTAAACCACAGGAAACAAACTGTTATGCCAAGTTTACAAGACCCCAAATAGACCACCAAGGAGCTGACTCTCTGGTGCAAAAACAAAGGTTTCTTTAATAATTAATGAGTTAACTGTATTAACTCGGGTCTTCTGTCTATCTGACACAGCAGGTGGAGCAAGAAGGACCCAGAAGAACCATGGGGCAGGGAATTTATTGGGGTAGAGCAAGGGGAGTGTCTGGGGTCTCAACAGTCTCAGGATTGGTACATTTCCAGGCTTGGGCGACATGTCCTATGTTCATTGGCCAACTGGTTGCTATGGCCTATAGGCCCTTCCAGGGCAGTTGCAATGCTCTGTATGTCACTGTTATGCCACTGTTACCGTAAAGCACATCCAGAGCCCATAAAGCACATCCACAACCCACCAACTAACCTCTGATTGGTTCCTTGCCACATGGAGGGAGGGTATCTGATCTCCTAGTGACTACTTCGGGCAAGGTCAGGAAGCTCAGAGGCCTACCTCTTTCTGTGTCTTTTCTGCAGCCTGTCGTGGCTGCTAAAGCAGGGGGCCAGATGAGGGTCCTGTCCCTTCAAAACCAATAAGTAACACTCTTCCATGGCCTCTGCTTCAACCTTGAGCTCCTGCTGTGACTTCCCTCAGTGTTGGACTATACAATAAAATAAATCCTTTCCTCCCACAGCTTGTTTTTGGTCATGATGTTTATCAAAACAATAAAAAGTGACTAAGAGAAGGGTGGTGGTGGCTTAAACCTTTAATCTCAGCACTCAGAGGCAGAGATGGATGAATCCCTGTGTCCTGGTCTCAGAGTGAGTTCCAGGACGGCCAGGACTACACAGAGAACATCTCCCCGCCTCGAAAATAAATAAATAAATAAATAAGTAAGTAAATAAAGACATCGGCAATCACCTGGTAGAGACGATGCCCCAGGAAGGCTGATTCACCTTAAGCCATGCTAAAGAGAAGCAGGGTATATTTATCCCTCTAGCGAGATAACCCCTTCTTTCCAGGAGGCTCACCCTGGTACAGTTGCTACAGAGCTGCCAGCAGACACCACAGCATAGATGTGGAGGTCAGAGGACAACTTTGGGGAATTTGTTCTCCCCTTTCAACATGTGAGTTCTGGGGGTTGAACCCAGCTCCACAAGCTTTACAGCTGGCAGCTTTACCCACTGAGCCATCTCACCAGCCCTCAAATTCTTTTATTAACTAAGGAATCCAAAGAGGGGAATCCCAATTTCCCTGGTAGCATCTCTATATCCTAAGTGCTGAGTGTTTAGCTGGGAACCCCGCTTCAGCCTCACTCTCCTGGATTCCAAACCCCACCCCTTCTCAAGAAGCCCATTCAAGAGGTGGCTCCTCCCCTGAGGCACAAGACCACGCCCACAGGATATTTAAGACCAGGACCCTAGACCTGCCAAGTGATTTCTCTCCTGTCTTTCCTGAGAGTCACCTGGGAATTGCCATGCTTTGTTCATTAACCCTGGTTTTATTAATTCAGCTGGATTTGGCTTGCTGCATCAGCAGAGAAACCCACAACCAGGGATCCAAAAATACTGATCATCTGGTGCTGAAATTATACTTAACACGAGATTACACCACCACACCTGGCTGCAAACCCATATGTTTTCACATAACCTCATTTTCTAACATTCCTTCGGGTAGCCATACACAGTCCTGTTCCTTCAAGGATCGTTCTGTGTAGATAGGTAAGATTTTTTAATTTTGGTTTTGAAGTCTCAGTTGAAACAGGAAACCGGCTTCATGAAGAATTTGGCAGCTTAATGAGAGCAAATTTTTGGTGTGTGGATATGGACACCATCATTCACATATTTTACAAATCAGAATCCAAGGGGCACTGTGAAAGTCAAGTGTAAGGTTGAACTGCAAGCCTGTGATTGGCAAGGGGATAAACGGCACAGGACAGCCCAGTAGGGAAGGGAAGGGAGTATGGTGACCAAGATCCTGAGTGCATAATGGGAGTTTTTTCAACTTACTGCATTATCAGCTTACAAGTGGGGATGTCTTTTCAATTGTGGGTCATTAGGCCCCACCCTCAGAAATTCTGATGGAGTTGATCTAAAAGTGTGCAAGGACATTCAGTATTTATTCCCTGACTTCCTCTCTACTCTCTGCCCTTTCTGAAGGTTATCCTGAAGGAAGAATGGATGAACTCAGGAGACAGAAACTGGTCAAGTAGGGCAAGCACCCCCAAAGAAGCAGGTCCAAGAATGTCCTTGCTAGAAGCCAGAGATACCAGAAGAGTTCTGGTTCCTGTTTCCTTGTTAAGTTTTCTCCTCGCAATGCTTAAGGGCTACACTCAGGACCACACAGGAACTGAGAGGGGGTGCTAGACACTTCCTGACTGGACTGACCAGCTCATCCCCCATCCCATTCCTTGCCTCAGTTTCCTGGTAAGCCTTTTTAAAAGTCCCTCCCCCCCCCCCATGCTCAGGTGGGGTGATGCATGTCCCAGCATTTGGGAGGCAGCTGCAGGCAGATTTCTGTGAGTTAGAGGCCAGCCTGGTCTACACAGTGAGTTCCAGGACAGCCAGAGCTACATAATGGGGGATGGGGGAAGGTTGGGCAAAGCCAGCCGATGTTCCTACATGGTTCTGCTTCAATTCCTGCCTCCAAGTTCCTGCCCCGATTCCCTCAGGGAAGGACTGTGATGTCAAACTATAAGCTAAAACAAATCCTTTCCTCCCCAAGTCGTTTTCAGTCATAGTGTTTCATTATAGCAATAGAAAGCAAACCAAAGCCAGGGAGTGGTGGCGCATGCCTTTAATCTCAGCACTCAGGAGGCAGAGACAGGCGGATCTCTGAGTTTGAGGCCAGCCTGGTCTACAGAGCGAGTTCCAGGACAGCCTCCAAAGCCACAGAGAAACCCTGTCTCGAATAACAAAAACAAAAAAAGAAAAAACAAAAAGAAAGAAAGCAAACCACAGCAGGCAGGCCATCAGGCATCAGGCTGTACCTGCTGAGCCACCCTGTAGGCGAGAGCTGTATGTCTGAGCTACACCCCCAGCCCTACAGTTTGTTTTCTTTCCTTTTCTGCTTTATAAAAATTTATTGCATTCTATTTAAATTGGGTATTTACTGTGTCTTCTGTGTACCGGCACCCACGTGTGTCACTCTGCTGCCAGGCTCACTCAATTTTGACATCCTCTTGCATCAGTTTCCCTGGTACTGGAGTTATAGGTGCATGTTCAGCTGTGTGTGTGTGTGTGTGTGTGTGTGTGTGTGTGTGTGTGTGTGTGTGTTGCTTTGTTTGAGATAGGGTCTCATCTATTCCAGCCTTAAACTCCCTGTGTAGCCAAGGAGATTTTTCTTTTTCTTTGAAGAATGAAGAAAGGCAAAGAAACCTGGAATGGTGAACTAGCCTTGAACTGAAAAGATGGCATGACATCACAACTTCCTACTCCACCCAGACTAACCCTTCTCTCCACTGGCAATTTTCCCTTCAGCACCAGGGAGGGAGAGGAGGTATCGTTCCAGCCCCAGTGAAAGCTGACTTCATCTGCTTCCCCACCTGATCCCACCCCAGGCTCCTCAGTTTGTCTCCTCACCTGGATCCTTCTCTCTCCCTCCCTCCCTCCCTCCCTCTCTCTTTTTGTTTTTTCGAGATAGGATTTCTATGTGGCTTTGGAGGCTGTCCTGGAACTAGCTCTTGTAGACCAGGCTGGTCTCAAACTCACGGAGATCCTGGATCCTTCTCTTAAGCCTGTAAACACTGGACTCAACCAAATTTGAAACAAGACCTGTACCCTTCTCCTAGCCACCTCTAGTCCCTATTGGTTCTCTTTTCCTTTCTCCTTCTCCTCTTCCCCCTCCTCCTCTTTTTCTTTTAGACAGGCACTGAACTCTAAATAAACCCATACATAGACACACATGCATACACATAATTAAAAATAAAATAAAATGGCCAAGAAGCACATACCTTTAACCCCAGCACTCAATTGAGAGGCAAAAGTAGAGGCAGTCAGAGCTCTGTGACTTGAGGCCAGCCTGGTCTACAGTTCCAGGACAGCCTCCAAAAGCAATATAGAGAAACCCTGTCTCGAAAAACAAACAAAAAAAAAAAGAGTTGTCTCATGACCTCCACAGGAATGCTGAGGTACACACATGCCTGCACTCACATATACAAACATTTATGTGCACGCATGCAAACATGTAAAACTTTGTCTTATCAAACCCTTCATAACCACATTGCGTGTAATATTCATCCAGTTATTATGTATTTATTAGAAAAAAATTGTTTGTTTTTCAAGACAGCGTTTCTCTGTGTAGCTCTCTGGCTGTCCTGGAACTTGCTCTGTAGACCAGGCTGGCCTGGAATTCACAGAGATCTGCCTGCCTCTGCCTCTGGAGTGCTGGGATTAAAGGCCTGCACTTCCACCTCCTGGTTTAGAAAGATTTTAAAAGCTAGGCATGGTGGCTCATGCTCATAAATTCCAACATGAGGAAAGCTGAAGCAGGAGGATTCCCTTGAGTTCACATAGCCAGTCTTCAGCTGGCTTATGCAACAGATCGAGATTCTGACTCAGCAGAACAAAAATGGGAAATGAAACTGAGTGTTAGTCTAGCACTGAGAGGGCAGGGGCAAGAGGGTTAGCCTGGTCTACAGAGCAAGTTAGAAGGCAGCCTGGACTACACAGTGACAGTATCTCAACGAAACTGAACAAACGCTGCTGAAGCTGAGGAGACAGATGACTCAGTACTTGCTTTACAATCATGAGGAATGAGTTCAAATCCCCAGCATGCACATAAAAAGCTGGACACACCTGTGTGTGCCCGTAATCCCAGCAGAGACAGACTCCAAGAGCTTTCTGGCCAGTCAACCTAGCCAAACCATCCAACTTTTTGGCTCAGTGAGAGACACTGTCTCAGGCAGTAAGGTCTCCACATGTATACTCACATACTCATGTAAGCCACACCACACACACATACCTGTTAAGAGAAGCTTTTTCCTTGGGTGAATCTTTCCCGCCAGCCTGGTTCTAGAGCCGCATCAGTCCCAACTAAACACACAGGAAGCTATATTAATTATGAAGCTGTTGGCCTTGCTTGTTTCTTACTGGCTAGCTCTGACTTAAGTAATTACCCCATAATTGTTAATCTAAGTATGTCTCTTACTGGAGAATAGTTCCGGGCTTCCTACCCCATGGCGTCACATGTCGATTCTCCTGTGTTTCTCCTTCCCAGAATCCTCCTGGACTCCTAGTCCCACCTATCTAGATTCCTATTGGCCAACAGTGCTTTACTAACAAATGTACAGGACTTCCCCCATCACATACCAAAAATGAAGTAATAAGAATTAAAAGCTTTATTTTATGTTTTTGAGACAGAGTCACTTTATGTAGCTCTAGCTGTCCTAGAACTTCCTATATAGCTCAATCTGGCCTCAACCCAGAGATCTGCCTGGCTCTGGGTATGCATCACCACTCATGGCAAAAGTAAAACATTCTATGAAATCAAGAAAGTAGAAAAGATCCTTGCCTTAAGAAATCTGTTAATAAATCGGGCTGGAGAGATGGCTCAGCAGTAAGGGGACTGTCTGCTCTTCCAGGGGACCCAGGTTCAATTCCCAGCACCCACAAGGCGACTCACAATAGTCTACAACTCTAGTTCCAGGGGATCCAACACCCTCACACAGATACACATGCACATAAAATAAACAAATTATTTTTTAAAAACAGTAAATAAATAGAATAAAAACCGTTTTTACATGTAGAGCCAGTAGGATGGGTCCTGGGTAAGCACACTTGCCTCCAAGTCTGAGACCTGAATTTAATCACTAGGACCCACACTGTAGGAGAGAATTGTTTCCCACAGGTTGTTCAGTGACTTTAATACATACTCTGTGACACACATGCCCTCTTCCACACAAAGTAAATCAACATTTTTAAAAAAGTAGCTTTAGATATGGTACCACTGTATCTTCTTTTTTACTGACAAGGCGAGTGAGGTTCTCTGAGACTTGCCATCCAAAGCCACAATGCCAGTCAATGGTAAAGCCAGCATCTGAGCCCTGCTGAAACTCAGAATCCCTGATGTAACCACAGAGTCCTCCCACGTATTGGAGCCTGGGAAGGGTAGGAAAGCTATGTGCCATACGGTCACCACATCAACCGTGTTCTCTCCCTGTATTAGTTACTTCTTGATTGCTGGGATAAAACATCATGACCAAGGCAATTTACAGAAGAAAGAGGATTTTGGGGGCTTTTTGTTTTTGTTTGAGACAGGGTTTCTCTGTCGTGGAACTAGCTCTTTAGACCAGGCTGGCCTGAAACTCATAGTGATCCACTTGCCTCTGCCTGCCAAGTGATAGGATTAACAGAGTGCACCACCATTGCCTGGCCAGAAGAAAGAGTTTACTTATTATTTGAGTATGTGTTCCAGTGTGAGAAGAACCCATCACTAGCTTTGTAGGAAAGCATGGCACTAGGCAGTCACGGTAGATGGAACTGGAAGCTTGGAGCAAACATCTTGAACCACAAGCAGGAAGCAGAGAGTGAACTGGAAATGCCATGTGGCTTTTAAACTTCGAAGCCTGCCCCTGGTGACAGACTTCCCCAGCAAGCCCTCCTTAACCTACCCGAACAGCGCCTCCAAATATTCAAACACCAAGACTGTGGGGAACATTCTCATTCAAACCACAACGCTCTCAGTCTCACAGTACCTGCCCAAGAGTCGCTGAGGCCTCAGAGCTGTTCCACAGTCTTCACTCCAGACCCTGCCACCCTGAGTGACTTCATGCATCACCATGCAAGGCCTTGATGTCTTCACCTCTGTCTGCACTTCCACACCCTCCCCCTCTATGCCTGGATCTGGACTTCAGCTTCTCTTGTGGCTCTTTCTTAGTCTCTGTATCGAGCCTCTCCCCAGTGTTGGGGATGGAACCAGAGCTTTCTGTATGCTCGGCAAGAGCCTCTCTGCTAAGCCAAACAGCCTTCAATCTATTATCTTGCTTCCTGCAGAACTCCTTGATGCCTCTCTTGACTTTGTCTATTTATTTTCCTTCTAACCTATATCCCTGACAGCATATACTCTGTGGTTTTTTTTCATTTCTTCAGCCTCCTCATCCTCTTTTTACCGCTGTGGTGATTTAAAAGAAAATGCCCCCCCAAAGGGAGTGGTTCTATTAGGAGGTGTGGCTTTGTTGGATTGGGTGTGGCCTTGTTGGAGGAAATGTGTCACTGTGAAGTTGGGCTTTGAGGTCTCATATATGCTCAAGCCACATATGAGACTGTTGCCTTCTGATCAAGATGTAGCCAGCACTATGTCTGCCTGCACTCTGCCGTGCTCTCTGTCTTGACGATAATGAACTGTGCCGTGCTCTCTGTCTTGACGATAATGAACTGAACCTCTGAACTGTAAGCTGCCACCTCAATTCAATGTTTTC